CGTGCAATCGGATCAACTGTTAGTACTGTTACCCCCCACCGCGAGGAACCATATCTACCTCAGAGTCTCGTCCACAATATTGCGCATTAGTTGTACAGTGTTGACGACCATCCCCCAACGCTCATGGTTAAAGTTACTCAAAATGACTTTGAGACCTTTATCCACTTCTCCGAGGGTATGCGAAACAGGCACGCGTACATCGTCGAACGATACGAAGGCCGTTCCCGCCGTTGAGGAATACGAAGTTTTGATAGGTTTGGTTTCCACCCCTGGACCACGAGGTATGACGATCATTGTAAGACCGTGCTGTTAATCATGCATGAACATTCATTATTATTCCCATTCGGGGGGATCGCTGCCCACCTTACTGGTTCGGCAAGCTGTCTGGAAAAGCAGTAGAATGAAAGAGCCGAGTCAGGGGAGAATGCATTGAACCAGGATAATAGCTTACGGTGAAATAGTCTGCAAACGTCCCATTCGTAATCCACTTTTTCGTTCCATTCACAATCCACCACTTTCCATCCTCGCTTTTCCGAGCAGTACATCTCAATCCAGAAACGTCGCTCCCCGCAAACGCCTCCGAAATAGCCAGCGCAACTACCTTTGAACCTTCCATGACCTCACGAGTGATCTGCTGTGCGAGTTTGCGGTCATTCGCAAGTTAAGGATAGGTGGAAGACCGATGTATGCCCCTGCGAGGAAGCCATCGATAAATCCTCGTTGCCCAGCTCGGGCTGATTCTTGACCGAGTAGGAGCTTTTGGTGATCGTTGAGTGAGACTTCAATCAGTCATCGGGGGTTACGCTTACTTCGTGGAAATAGTCAAAACTCTTCGGGCTTCACGCCTGCGAGGAGCTTCAGACCTTTGAGATGAGGGCCCGGGCCAAGCTTTGAATGCAATGATATTCATTTTTCTGGAAAGGAATGGTCGGTGGTGTGGCAATTTTGTGATAGGAATGTAGCGCCTACGAAAGCTCTTCGACGACCTTCTGGGATATACGATCCCCTGTCTCCTCACACCGTTTAGCTTCTGGAATAATTAGCTGGCGAGGAGCGCCAACATGAATATGTGCACGCCAATATGATGGATGATAAGACCCACCTCATCGCATATTTTCCTGAATTCCTTGTGCAGTCTATAGTGACTCTCTTTGTAATATGGGGACTTGAAGGGCCGTGTCAGCCATGCAGGCTCTGAATCTTCTTTAGCGATAGCTTGCTTAGCGCGGCGTGACTGACCCACCTCCATAAGGGACCGGACTGAGGGAACCAGGTGGGAGGGGTTTGAAACGTTCCTCCTCTCCGACGATGGTCCCAATTTGAAGACGAGCGTACTGAGGCCGCAATAACACCTCCGAGCGGTGAAGCGAGTAGAAGAGTTCAGTACAATCTTTTCCTCCTGCATTTCACCATCCAGGATCATTATCGGGTTGGAAGAGAATGTGAACTCGTTCGGCCGTACTCACGGACTTCATCGTCAAGCAGAACGGCTTTCCCGCCTGGATGGAACTTTAAAAAAATTTGGTAAGATCAAAGACTTTGGCATCTATAATGGTCCAAAGGTCGCCCTCCTTGTTGTGCTATAACGAACTCGGATCTCAGCCGAATACGATTGGTGCACAAATAACCATAATCTCACTTGGGCGACTTCTTCTACTGTGAGCAGTTTAATCTTTCCGTCCATTTTATGCCCTCTTTATGTACCAGGAAGTGGTTACGCTACTGAAGTTCAACGGCGACGTGGTTGTAGGAAATGGGTGGGAATTGAAATGTGTCCCACGCCTTCGGGACGGCTCAACCCCGTGCAGGCAAAACGGTGGCATCTTCAACGCCGGTGACTCAATATCCGAATATCTGTAGACTGGGGCTCGCCAATGGAGCATGATATGGGTACTGTCCGGACGAAGGTGGACGGGTACACACTGAATGTCACGGTTCATTTTTATTTTCGTGCATTTATTCTCAAGTACCCGCTACTCTTCCGTCCGTCGCTATTTTGTACTTTGTCTGGGTTTATGTCTCCCCGCCAGGCCATTCACTTCCGTTTTTGATCCCCATTGCGGAGTTCAACATTACACACTTGGATCTGCACCTCGCCTCTGTGGTGGAAAACTGGTGAAAAGGTGGCGGTTATTCTCATGGTGCAGTTGAGTTGGGAACCGGTAGCATCGGCCTCTCCAACAAATATTGGGACCGGGAAATAAGCCCTACCTTTTCCCGTTAGCGAATGACCGGAGTTCTTTATAATAACCTCGCTGTAGATGCTGGCTGGCTGATATTTCGAATAGCAGGGCCTCAAAGTGAACTTGTAGGGTACTTAATTTCAGAGCAGGTGACGTAAGGGCATAACGATAACAGGCCCCACCCAAGTGGCATGCGGTGTTCCCACTTGGTGGGTATAAGATTCCATATCCACTTGGGAGGTGATCCTGCCTATCACCTCGCTAAGTCTGGAAATAGGTCACAGCGTCTGGAGTCCGGGAAAATTTGAGGCATGGTGTTATGTATTCCAAACGATCTTAACTTTCACGCGAAGCTAAGTCAAAGTCTCCTCCAGCATGGATTGGAGCCGCAACACTTGTCGTTATTTTTCTGGTTTGAGCTACTCCGAACGGTTCTAATTCCTGGCTAAAATGATAGTCATCAAACTACGAGGTCTGACGTAAATTTCCAGATGGAGTGACGCTATGACTTCTATTCGTGAGGCCTGTCCCTAATGATGATCCTTCTTTGGGGTGTTATGTAAAGAGAAACCGCTCCACAGATTATCGTATGAATTGAGGATACTTACTTCATAATCGTTTTCTTTTTCTTTTCTAATGCAATTGTGGTTGTAGACTCTGCCGCCGCACGTTGCATGGGTACGTTAGGCATGGTTGATCCATTCCAGAACCATTACTGTATCGTGGGCCCGACCCGGACTGTGGCATGGGTTTCGGATCTAGCTGTTGACGTGACATCATGTATCCCTACATGGAACACCGCGCAATGAGGGACCAAGTCTTATCCACCATATACACTCACACATCGTAATTCCCTCGATATTCAGACGCTGAAGTGACTAGGCCGACTCAGAGAGTGACTCATTTCCAATTCACGTCAGTACGACAGTGACGAACCCTGGCTGTTAAACTGGCGTCATGCACGAAATCCAACATTCGGATTTCACGGTGGAGCATAAAGTACTCTGCTGCTCCACGTCTTGGGTCATTACATAAGTATGAGCTCGCCGTGTCACTCACGCCTCTCAGGTTTATCCGGCCGAACGCCCAGATCCTAGCCCTGCATGTCGTACGCTCTCGGAACCAGCGCCGAACCCGCGGATCATTGACCTAGCTCAACCTCAAAGAAGCGTGCTCCCTCGGATGCAAGGGAAAAGCTCAAATCAAGGATCGGATGAATTCCTCATACACACAAACTCCAACGGGGGGACGAAATAAAAATCGATAGGGTTCATGCGATCGAGGTGCAGCACAATAGTCTGACCCAGGCAAGGCAACTTGAGCATGAGGTTCAACTTCAGGGGGAAAGAGCGAATGGAAAGGCCACTGACTTCCCATCTTGGGGGACATCGCATAGAAGCACCGCGGTCATTCTCGATGCCCGGCCGCTGACTTGGTGATCCTATTGGGCCGGGAACGGGCTTTGATAGCTGGAGATTGGAAATGCATCTCTTGGTTAGTATGCATATAATTTTGAGGCGCATTGTTCAACGGAACATACATGCTGTGCTTTCTGCAGCTCAACCAATGTCGATGTTGATCAATGGAATGATTTAGATACGCTGCATCTAGAACGAATACATCGAGTTGATCAGGGAAGCTTTGGATCGCGGAGTTCATGTTAAAAAAAAAAAAAGTGCCAATGACAATTCATATATATATATATCCGCAAATCGATTATTTAAAAAAAAGTTGTTTGACAGCTCAAGCTATAGGATACTACCCCAACGCCCCTCTTCGCTCTTCGGTGACTTCTAGGGGCGCTCCAGTTGATGGGGTGTTCTGTTGGATTCATAGCCGCAGAGCGACATCACTTTTATGTGAGCACAACTACATCTATATACTCCAACTTCTGTCGCACTGCATCCATTGGGATCTGATTGAACACCCTATCACTGTCTGGACAACGCGCATTCACGTTCACTAGCCAAAGGCTAGTATCACATTAATCGACGCCTCACAGTCCTCCTATCACCAGTGAGAGTTCATCTTCTACTGACAACCATTAGTTTGCCCGTATCGAGGAACTGATAGATAATTTCAATCGTGCGCGATTAGGTAGGATGCTGCCAGCAGGACAAGGCACCCACACGAGCATCTGGACACTTTGTCAAACCTTATCCAATCTTGTGGTTTGACAGGCAGGACGTGCATACGGAGGCCAATGTGCCCGGGCCTCTCGGCAGAGTCGCTTGCACAGTGTAGGGGGGGCCATAAACACATCCTGAAAGTCGTTTACAAGCATGCGCGCAGCAGAATCATAACGGTCATGCGTTTATGATATGACGCAGTATTCCAAAAGCGTGTCTGTTCCAAGTTGAAATTAGTCTTCTGAGCATAAGCCATTCATGGACGCCATTTTAGTTACGAAGGGTTGGGAGGCTGCCATGGCAGCTCTCAACAAAGAAAATGGGAAATAGGTTAGTAAAAGGAGAAGTGCAGTTTAAATTACATAACAAACAGACCGATATGCTGGAAGGGCTTCGATTGATGTTGATAAGGTGTCTCTGTGACGCTTCTCTCCTATCACACCGCTACAGAGATCGCATGCAAATGGGTTCAGATCAGTGCATGTATGAGTGGCTTTGGACCAAAAGTGGGAGCCTAAGTTGTAAAGTGAAAATGGGATAGTAGATTCCACCTTGGTTTTCCAATGATGATCGGCGAGAGGAAAGTTTGCCCGTTCTTCGCAAGAAATGCGTTTAAGAGCCTAACCAAATGCTTAGGTGACCACAATCACCCAGACTCGACAGCCACACGGATCTTACAAATAGCCGTACGCTGTCAGGCAGTGTCAGCGAGGACAACCTCAAAACGCATGCGAATTTCTAGAGTTCTGTGCGATCGGTGAGGACATAAGCACGTAATTGTAACACCTAGGCAGAAGCTGCCAGTGCATCGAAGATATGGCTGTTCGGCCAACCCTTCATTGAGATCAACGAGGTGGCCTTGCGGCCAAGTTCATTCATTACGAGTCACCGGAAATAACCGGTACCCGCGCTTGACCGCGCTGCAGTCGCGCACAGGAATTCCTTACACAGCATCTCCATTTAATTTATTCCGCTATATATATATGTTATATTCCTCTGCGACTAGTGTACCAAGCTGGAACACGGGTTGGAAAGGCGTTTACAAAGCTAGCACATCAAAAATGAAAGATGGCCGTATTCAGCGATCGGGCGCAATACAATCACGCCAGAGCATGTGATTTGCCCGAGTCTATTATTAGGGTTGAACATGATATTATTCTGTCCAGCGCCTATGTATATATCCCTTAGGGGTTTTTATCCACCGATCGATTTGAAATGTTACACAGTCTTTATCATATTAAAAGGCCCGTGGGGCCAGTCTCTCACCAACTGGCAACCCCTTGATCCCTCTTGACGTGGGTCCCCAAGTTGTTTCATCAGGTCTCAGCGCGACCTTGGCAAGCATTTACTCGATCCACGCTACCTCGACGTCTATCCTAGGGGTGCTTCAAACTTGTGGGTCCGGTTACTAAAGATGTTGTCCTGGCTTACCAATGCTTACGCAGATTTTTGAGGGGCATTTGTTTCACCATGAGCACTCGCCCATACAGTGTTCTTTCCCAAGCAGATATCCTCGATTGTATTCCCTCCACTGGGTATTCTGCGTATTCAGTGAATGATTTTTTTGAGGGTATACGGCGCAGTCGGAACGCGGCGACCACCAAGATCCTGTCTTGCACTCGCTATGGCGACAATAATGGTGTGCCCCACCGGTTTCTGATCCTCCATGCCCAGAGAGAACCCGAGAAAGACTTCTATGTTCGTCTGGATCGTCGGCCGGACAATAGTAATGGGGGCCTTTTGTCCAACTTGAGCAAATCACCTGCACAGGACACTGTTCGTGCCTCCCATGGTTTGGTTGTATTCAGACGAGTGATACATGCTGGTTCGTTAGGTGGTCATTTCGGGAAGTATGGAGAAGCTATGTCAACAATGTCAACACATGTCAAGGGATGAAGCAAGGATGGAATTTCCTACCAAACCATCCCTCCTCGATATCGGAAAGGTCATTGCGTCCATCGCATCGGAGTCGCAAGCCTACCGTTTGTCTAGGGTGAGTTCGGCATCACGGAATCAGATTGCAGTGACTCAACTTGTGGGATAGGAAAACTGTTGGTTCTTTGCCTCCATCACACAGGACTTGTTCATGCGTTGTTTCGATGCGCATTACGATAGAGGGCAATTGAATCACCCAGACCTTGTCAGGCAACTCCGAGTGACCATAAGATCACGGGTTTACCGCGACGAACTTCGTCTCGGAGACTTGTTGCAGCCCATAAAGCAATTCGCCCAAGATATAGGTGACGTGGAACTGACCGGGGCGGTGTATTTTGCCTTGCGGATTATTGTTCAATGCCATGTATGTCGTGATACCCGTTCGCGCTTCAGGCCTAACGACTTTGAGAACAGAAAGCCTTTTTTACTCAGTATCCACCCCAAGACTTTTTCGCTGCGGAAGCGGA